GTTGCAGGGTGTGATGGCACACGCTTTTATCTTAGTGCTCTGGCACCCAGAAGGAGGCAGATCTTTGTGAGTTAGAGGCCAGTCTAGTCTACACAGCAAGTTCCACGACAGCCATGGCTGCATAGAGAGGCCCTGTCAAAACATCACTTGATCCCAGCACTAGGAAGGTAAATCCCTGGGGCTTGCTGGCTAGCCAGCCTGGCCTCATCAGTGAGACCCAAGTTAAGCATGAGGCCGCCATGAAAACCAAGGTGGACAGAACCTAGGGATCGACGGCTGGAGTGACTGCTGGTCTCCTACATACGTGTGGCTCCTCACAACCATTAGGAGAAAATCTTCTCTAGGGGCTAGAGACAGCTCGGTGACTACAAACACCGGCAACTCTTCCAGAGGACCTGTGCTTGGTTCCACAGGGTGGCCCACAAACATCTGGAACCCCGGTTCAAGGAGCTCCGATTCCTTCTTCCGGTCTCCAAGAAAAAGTAGGCACGTACACGGTGCAGACACACCCGCAAGCAAAGCACTCACACACATTTAAAAGCCGCTGTTATGGGGCAGCGGGTCTCAACCTTCCTAACGCTGTGACCCTTTAGCACACTCCATGGTGTGGTGCCTCAACCATTAAATTGTTTTGTTACTACTTCATAACTGCAATTTGATAGTTACAGATCACGATGGAAATACCTGATGCCCAGGATATCTGATATGCAACCCCCAAAAGAACCACTGTTGTAGGGGGTTACATGAAGTTCAGTAGCAGGGCACTAACCTACCCACAGTTTGATTCTGTGCAACACACACACACACACACACACACACACACACACGTGCGCGCGCACTCGCACAATTAATTAGAAAAAAGAGGAAAACAGAAGCTGCAGAGATTAGCCAGGTCTAATGGTGCGCATGTACAGTTCCAACTACTTGTGAGGCTAAGGCAGATCTCTGGAGGAAAGGAATTCCTGACTGGCCTAGGCAAGAAAGCAAGATGTGCCATCCAAAAAGTAAAAGTAGAAAATTTAGATTGTGTCTGTGTCAAAGAACTCACTCAGTGGGTCTGATACGGTGGCTGCTGGCTCCAAAATTTCTATGCATACACAGCACCACCTCACATGAATGAGTACCCATAAGTCATGCTTGGGTCCCTAGGAAGCACTGTGAGCTGCGACCCCAAAGGGGGTTAAATATCTGACATTTACATTACGATTCATTACAGTAGCAAAATTAGTTTTGGAATAGCAAAATAATTTTATGGTTGATGTCACCACAAAATGAGGAAGTGTATTAGAGGGTTACAGCAATGGGAAGGTTGAGACCCACTGAGTCCCTAAGGAGGAGAAGCAACAGCTGCTGCAGAGCTACTTGGCCCAGGAGGAACTTGAAGGTGAATGGACTATGCCAGCCCCTCAGCTCACTGCTGCTTGGCTTGAGGATGGATTGAAGGTGCGCCGGTGACCCCTGTACCCATCTTATCAGGGCCCAACCGAAAACTGGAGCAAGTAGCCCGCCAAGGAGCACTGTCCGCAGCTTCCAGTGCTGACAGCACTAAGTGGGTCGGAACAACTACTGAATGAACTTATGCTGTTCTGCAAACACTTCACCGGAGGCAAGAGGATAGAAAACACCAATTAAAAAAACCCAGACTTCACTGTGTAGTTACAAAACAAGCATAAAAACACGGCTTAATTATTTAAATCACTGCTCAGTCGAGGATAGAGTACATCACTATCCTGAAAGCTGCCTCTCACCTCCTGAACACAACTCTTCCCCATCCTCTAAAGGCAACCAATATTCCCTCTTTACACCTTTATGTTGTGAAATTAATATTTAATATTGACTCATATTAAGGCAGCAATTATTCCTTAAATAACTTAAAGACACAGAAACATGTTAAGACTTTTAAAAAGCCTTAAATACCAGGACTGGGCAGACATTAACCCTCCAAGCTACCTTGTCTCCTTCTCATCAGTATTTGCACGTTTTCCTTTTGGGCCGCTTCTGCCCAGCATGCCAATCCCTGGAACAAGCTCTCCCACGTGCTTCTAATTCATGCTAACCTACGGTGACCTGCTATCCTTTCTTCCTCCTTCCTTTTGTGCTCTTCCTTTTCTACCACTAAGCCCTTGAACCTTGGTTCTGCCTCTCTCTTCTGCCCAGTCTAGGCTGTAGGTGACTTTATTATCAATCAGGGATAATTTGGGAGGCAAAGTTTACAAGTCATTTTGGGTATGTGAGAATTTGCTCCTGGAACAGTAAGGATCTTGTCAGGACGGGGGTTCGTCAGGCAATTAACTTTTAAATATATAGTAGTTCCATATCAACCTCAACACCCTTATGGATATCTTCATACACTTTACCTTCTCTCTTCCTACCTTCGCTTGGGTGGGCTGCGGGGTTCCATGAGAACTCTGGCTTCTACCAGCCATCTTGCTTGTAGTCGGACTTCAGATAACAGGCAAGTATGCAGGCCAGCGGCCTCCTTTGCTACCCTCCGGAACCAGTGAGCCTCAACTAGTCTTACAAGGCTTCCTGTGCAGTGGGCAAGGGCCCCACCTCCTGGCCTCTTCAGTAACTGTTTAAGCAGGTTCTTCAGAAGGCTGGGATTCTGAAAACTTAACTTTAGGATGTTTGTTTCCTGGCAGCTATGTTTGAGTCGGTATTATATTGGGGCTGAGAATGTAACCCAGTTGGAGTGTTATCCTATCATTCATGAGGCCTTGGCTTTGATCTCCAGCACCACATAACACCTGGTAGGTTGCAGTGCTCAGGAAAATCAGGTCACGGTCAGCTTCGCAGTGAGTTGAGCCCTGGGTTACAACTCTTTAACAACAAAAAGTGTGGCTGAAGACACTTTGCTACTGAGCCTGAGTGTAATTATGAGGACCCACATGGTGGACAAACCTATCGTTATCTGACCATATGCTCACTATGGTGGTGGTAGCCTCCACACAATCAGTTAATTTTAAAATTAGGCCCTATTCACTTGAGTGTTTGTCTCCAAGTATGCCACCACGTGTGCTTGGTTGGTGCGCAGTGTCAGCAGGGGACATTGGATCCTCTGCTGCTGCGGACCAGCCCCCTAGGGTGCCCTGTGTCCTCGGAAAAATCGGAATTCGGATATCAGGAAGGCACAGATAGGCGAAATGACAGTCAGACCCACACCGGGTGGTACTGGTTTGGATCTTCTGCGCTTTACTGAAGTCAAGCCAACACTTTTATAGTAATCTTACAAAGAAGCACCTTAAAGTTGACATATCTCCCGGAACATTTATAAAGTTTATATTTTAACTGAAAGAGTAACCTGGTAAAAGCAGTGTCTACAAAAATCTTGGCCTAACAGCCTCTTAAGCAGAGCAAACATAGAACTAATGACTTGTTTGCCAATTTAGCGAGGGCCAGGGGCTTGTAAAACTTGTGGTCTGTTTATGTAGTTTATTGTTAATTAGGGGTTGTTAATAATCCTCCAAACTAGGTCAGCTAAAGATTTACAATCTTTCCTTAGATAAGATGCTTGAACTAGCCTGTCCGTAAAACTTGTAGTATAATACAAAACTCTCTGACCTCCTATGTTTGCCTGTCTTCTTTCTGCCTCATCATAAACACCTGTGTTAGGTAATAGTTTTGTAGTAGCTTTACTGCAGTGGGAATATCCAGAGCATTCATCCTAACAGATCCTGATTAAACATTTTCTTTAGAAAGCCCTAAAACGCTTATCCTTTTACTACCTACAATGTTTGGTTTTTCCACAAGCAATTCCTGATGCTGAATCTGATTTATTACCTCTCCTAAAATTTTATTTTCCTTCTACTCTTATTTGCTAAAGCTCTTAGTGATCTATTAGCAATGTTTCCTTGAATAGTTAATTGTACTGTTTCAAGAATCATAGAGAAACAGCAAAAAAGCTCATCAATTCCAGTCTTGTAACCAAATAAGCGTGTGACTTAAAATATGTCTTTTGGCTTAGATGGCCATGTTAGGGTTCTTTGCTAGGGACTTCCAGGAAGCTGATTCCCGTAGGAAACCTGTCTTCTCGTTTTATGCTTGCATAACACATGTTTATGCTGTACAGACTTTCTGGAGTTTGTGTAACACTCTGCAACTGCAACTACGGGCGGTTAAGAACTACCATATGGCTGCTGGGAATTGAAACTGCAGCCTCTGCAGCCTCTGCAGCCTGGTCTACAGTTCCAGAGAAACCCTGTCCAAAAAAACCAAATAAATAAAATAAAAATTAGAGTTGGGTATGACAGACCAAGTCTTTAAGCCCAGCACTCAGGAAGGCAGAGGCAGGCAGACTGCTGTATTCTAGGCCAGATCTACAGTGCAAGTCCAGGACAGCTAAGACTACACCAAGAAACTGTCGGGGAAAGGGGGGATGGAAGTCAGATGAAATTAAGCATAAAGTCTTGAGACTAGCGTAGAAAACCTTCAGTTTGAGGCCAGTCCAGGCATGAGAGGGACCCTGTCTCATAAAGGAAGGAAAATTTTTTCTTCTTGAAACAGGATGTAGTGAGATCCTGGCCTAGAACTTACTCTGTAGACTAGGCTAGCCTTAAACAGAGACCTGTCTGCCTCTGCTGGGATTAAAGGCCTACACCACCAAACCCAGACCTAAATAAGTTTTTTTGAGACAGGGTTTCTACACAGCCCTGGCTGTCCTGGAACTTGCTCTGCAGACCAGACTAGCCTCTGAACTGATCTGCTTGCCTCTGCTTCCATGAGTGCAGGTGTGCACTTCCAGGTGTGCAGCCTTAAAATGAGGCACTTTAACGTAACGCTCATTTTTAGACCCTAGCCAATAGCAAGGGCTCAGTTTAGTTTACAGGGCATTAGCTGAAGTCTGAAAAAGAGCTAAGAATGGGAGACACCATCTTTAAAATAAGACTGATAAATAACTACTGCCCCAACAAGTCTGCACAGTAGACTCAAACAGCTCTCAGGCCTGGGGCCCTGCTTGCTCTGCTGAGCTTTGAGGCCTTACCCACACAAAAACACAACTCTGAACATCATAAACCATCCAGTTTATTGTTTTGTAGTAAGACCATGCAGACATCAGCACATTTTCTTCCTCAGGGAGCTGCCACAGAAAGCCAGCTTTTAATGGATTATCAGGTGATGGTGGAAACCAAACACGGGGAGGCTCTTGTTGGTACCTTCGTTTTCCATACATGAAACCTGGTGTGTTCTCACCAGGTCAACCAGGGTACCCTTCCTCCCTTTCACTCACTCTTGCTGAACTCTGCCAACTGTCACATTCTGCATTTTTCTAATTAGTCCCTTGGCCCAGGAATCTCTGCTCACTTACTTTCTGCAGTACTGGATCACACTCAGTCTCATGAATGCTCTGAAAGCTCACCACCACCCAGATATGCCTCCCAGACCTGCTGCTTAGTCTTTATCAGTGACATAATTAGTCCAGAGGACCAACCTAGAAAAGACCCATGTACCAACTTCAAGACAAAATGGGCTTGTTTAGATACCTCCCAACCTCACTGTACTATCTCAGTTCTTCCTGCCTTACCATAGGTGCCCTGTGACATAGGCCCGCTAACCTAGGTCATGCTGAGAGCTCAGGTTTTTTTTTAAAAGATTTATTTATTTTATGTATATGAGTGTTCTATCTGCCAGAAGAGGGAATCAGTTCACATTATAGATGTTTGTGAGCCACCATGTGGTTTGCTGGGAATTGAACTCATGACCTTTGGAAGAGCAGACAGTGCTCTTAACCACCAGGCCATCTCTCTCCAGTCCCAAGAGCTCAGGTTTTAATTAGTTATATCCACTTCCTTGACCAGTGATTCAGCCATGCAGCAAGTAATCATTCTGTTCCTAATGATGTTCAAAAGAATCAAATACAGTCACAAAGTTCGTATACCACAGTAACAGACAAGTTGTTGAAAATGTCTTTCAATGTCAGAAAAGCTTGCTTTGAAATTAAAATTAGAATGTACTATAAACATGTATCCATAATAATTAGTGAAAACAAAATACTCAAGACAGTTACATGGCATTCACACCACATGAGAATTATGCGAATTATGCCTGCCAATTATTCCAAGAACAGCAATTTTATCCCCAAAAGTTGGTAGATCCATGCTGGCTTCTGAAGGCTTCAGTCTCAGACCCAATGAACGAAGATGAGCATAGGACATGATCAGCAAATAAATACAACTGTTAATAGTCAATGCCCTACCAGGGTTTTGAGGGAAGGAGGGATCAAATGTGGATGTGTGCACTCACATGAATACAATTCCCCAGGAAGAAATTTTTTTTTTTTTTTTTGAGGAGGGAGAGTTGAGACAGGGTTTTTCTATCTAACACCCTTGGCTGTCCTAGACTCACTTTGTAGACCAGGCTGGCCTAGAGCTCAGAGAAATCTGCCTGCCTCTACATCATAAATGCTGGGATCAAAGGCATGCGCCACTGTGCCCAGCTAAGAAAAGTTCTTAACATGACATTTTACTAGGCCTTATGCAATAACTAAGACTTTAATCATTGGACTCATCTCTGAAAATCACAACAAAAATCTGTATGAAATTATTTAATATAAAATATACAAATTCCTCAGTATGAAGACCCACAGAACAGGAAGGCAATGACAACTAAAAGGGATTTGTTAAAAAAGAAAAAAATCTATTTTTGTCCCTGACAATCAATGCTCAAAAACAAACCTGCACAAAAGCAGGAAATAAAAGGACTGGAGACTGTGATGTGACTGTCCTTGCCGAGACCTTCTCCTAACAGCACTGAGTTTCTGGGTCCATTGAAGGTGAGGGGTCAGCCTCCCATCATCACCTTCCTTTTCCTAGGATGACCACAGGTCACTCGCTGTCAAACTTGACAGAATTGACCTGGACAGAGATGGAGCCTCCCCGGTAGCTGCCTCGCTTCTTCTTTGTCTTCTCATGCCGGAAGGACTTGCCTTTGGTGAACTTCAGAACCTGGTTAGCTCGCTCACCCCAGTCTCCAGCTGCACCACGCTGTTGGAGACAAAGTCAGTACAGAGAAGACCACACCTCGCCCCGTTGGTTCTATCACCCCTTAAAGAAGACCCCACCTCACCCATCGTCACCTTCTCTCTATTGCCCCTTCAAGGAGATCTGAACCCATGGAATTCTAGCAACCTCATTCAAACACCACCTTCCCTCCCAGGTCACAAGAGTGGCGAACTCCCCTCACCTTGGCATCAAAGGAATTGTCCGCTACTCTAGAGTCCACTTCAATCTCCTCCTCCCTGACCCTTCGGAATGGGGAAGATGCCCTCTTTTCTCCCTAAAGAAGAATAAAGTAAAAGGTAAAAATAAATTGGTGTGTAACAGCTCTCCTTAAAGGCATGCGGCAGTCTCAGGCTAGACTGAGCTGTGCAGATCCAGGGTCATCTATGCTTTAAAGGGCTGGGTCACGAGAACAATGTGGAACAACCTACTTTCTTCCTTTTTGGAAACGTGTTGGGAGTCTGGAGCTTAACTTTCTTAGCTTGAGGAGTTTCTGCTTCCTCTGCTGTCTCATTCTGCTTCCGCTTCTTGCCTGAACCTACACAAAACAAAAAGCCAGACTCTCAGAAGCCAGGCCTGCTAGAAAACTACAACCATGGGCTAGAGAGATGGCTCAGGTTAGGAGCACTGACTGCTCCTCCAGAAGTCCTGAGTCCAATTCCCAGCAACCAGTCCAATTCCCAGCAACCGCATGGTGGCTCACAACCATCTATGAGATCTGGTGCCCTCTTCTGGCATGCAAGTGTACATGTAGGCAGAACATTGTATACATAATAAATTAAATTAAAAAAAAAAACAAAAAACAAAAAAAAAAAACAAACTACACCAGCACTCATAGGCAGACAAACCTCCCCTGTCCACCTCCCTCCTCAGGACATGCAAGGACCGGAGGGCAAAATCCAGGTGATGACTCTACAGATACATGCCTGACTTAGTCATGGCTGCCTTTTTCTTTCCTTCTTCATCCTCCTCTTCCTCCTCCTCCTCCTCCTCCTCACTCTCCTTGACTGTTTTCCCATTCTGAGAAGCCGGAGTGCCGTTGGCCTTGCTGGCCTGTGGTTTAAGAGTGGCCTTGCCCTTGGGCTTCTTTTTCTCTTCTTCACTGGACTCTTCAGAGGAGCTGCTGCTCTCAGCTGCTGCTTTCTTCACAGGGACTGGCTTGGGAGTAGTTGCACCTGCTGCCTTTTTCTTGGCTGGGGGCTTAGGTGTCTTCTCCTCCTCCTCCTCCTCACTGCTGGAACTGTCTGAGTCAGAGCTGCTGTCCCCACCAGTCTGAGCAGTCTGTTTGATGGACTGAGATGGTGCTGCTTTAGCCGTCACCTTGGGCTTGGGGGTCGTCACAGTTTTCTTTGCTGTCTCCTCCTCACTGGAGCTGCTCTCCTCCTCGCTGGAGCTACTGTCAGCTTTTCTGCTCTGAGGTTTCTGACCACCTGAAAGTTGCTTAGGAGTTGTAGCTGCCTTTGCTGCAGATGGCTTGGGAGTGACAGCTGGCTTACTTAAGGAATTCTTGGTGGTACTGACTGGCTTGGCAGGAGCTTCATCCTCAGAACTGTCAGAATCTGGAGAAAGGACCAAATGAACAGCTCCCCAAGTCTAATTCAGGAGAACCCTGCCACAGCAGCCCAGGGCAATGTGTATCCCCTTGGCCCAAGGGCCTGGGAAACATTACCTGAGCTGTCAGAAGAACTCTCTGCTTTCTTCTTCACTGGTGCTGCTTTGGTGGGTGTCTTGGAGATGACCGCCTTAGCTGGGAGTTTTTTCTCTTCCTCAGAACTTGAATCTGGGGAAGACTTATGCCATTAGGATGGGCCCAGAATTGCAAGCCAACCAGGACAGAACAAAAGTACACAGAATCTTAGCCTTCAAAAGCAACCCAGGGACAGGGTATTTTTTTTCCTTGTTCATCTCCCCTTCCAGGGCCTCACTATACCCCACAACTCACCAGACTCCTCACTGCTGTCCTCACTGCTTTCCGCAGGTGGCTTCTGTGCAGCAGCTTTCTTTGGAGATTGGGCTCCCAGGGTCTTCTTTGGTAAAGGAACAGAAGGCGGGGGGACTGAACTGTACGGACCTGTTTAAAAGGTAAGAGTTTTGGAATAAGCATTTACCAGGCACAGTGGTTCGTGCCTGTAATTCTAACACTCTTAAGGCTAAGCAGGAAAAGGGCTATAAGTCTGAGGTCATGGGCTACAAAGGGAAAACATTTTAAATAAGCAATAAAATAAAACAGGACCACAGGTGGTTCACCCTTTAATCCCAGCACTCGGGACACAGGCAGACAGAGTTTGAGGTCAGCTTGGTATACACAGTTATGTTCCTGCACAGAGTTACAGAGTAAGCAAGTAAATAAATAACAGAAAAACCTATACACGCAGGACTGAGGATGCATCTCTTAAGTCTAGAACCTACTCAGCATGCACAAAGCCGGGTTTAATTTCTCGCACCAGAAAAGAAAATGAGTACTTAAATTCTTTGACTCTGTCTATCCAGGCGTAGAAGGGCTTTTCTGAGGAATGTGAGCTGCGGCTAACAGGTCATTCCAACAGTGTCCCTTCTGAGCCTCGGGCACACGAGGCTTTGCAGCTTCTCTGTTTTGTTTAATCCTTTTCTGGAAGAAGCTAGCTGCTGTGCCATGAGGACTTATGAATACTGATGGCCCGTGTCCAGTCACCTGGTTTTTTCTTCATGGGCTTTTTCTGTTCCTCTTCCTCCTCACTTGAAGAGTCATCACTGCTAGAACTCTTCTGGGTAGGGGTGGCCACGACTTTCACTGGAGCCTTGGCCAGGACTTGCTTTTTAGGTGCAGTCTGCCTCAGAGAGAAAAATTAACATTAAAGGAAAACACTTTCCCAAACAACCCTGTCAGAAGAGAAAGACACTCTGTAGCCCCTTAACTTCATCCTTGCTACAGAGTTAAAACCCTGACCTTCTTGGGGGTTGCTGCTGCCTTCTCCTCCTCCTCTGAGTCATCACTGCTGCTGCTGCTGCTGCTGCTGCTGCTGCTGCTGGCTGCTTTGCCATTGACTACTTTAGGCTGTGCTTTAGGTGCTGTACCTGAGAAGCAAAAGCAATGTATTAAGACAAGCTGGGAGCCTTCAAAAAATCATCAGTATTCAAAGGGTCTATTAATTTTAAGGCTAGTGGAGTGGCTCAGCGGATAAAGCATGACCTGAGTTTGATGCCTAGGTTTGTACCTAGAGTCACAGAAACTCTTGCAAGCTGTCCTCTTTAGGGTCCTCTTTATGCACACTGTGACATGTGCACAGACACAATACATGCATACATACAATAAACCCTTTAAATGCTAGTTTCTGAAGTCTTTCGCTTCAGCCTCTATTCATAAGAAACAATTCGTTTGCTGTGAGAAATGACAGCACAGGAGTGAACATGGCAGTGAACAAGAGAGAACACATGTAGGTTGTGACTGTTGCTCAAAAAGAAAGCAGTCCTTACCACACAAAAAGCCCTGGGGTTCTGCTCTGTTTGAGGGTTCAACCCCAGTCTGACAGTAGGTGTGTAGGACTATACTGAGCTAAGAAATACCTATTAATTGCAGTACTCCAGAGCCTGAGGCAGGCAGCCACAGGACTAACCTTACCAAACAAACAAGTAAATATGCATGACATACACACCTACATCCTTAGCACTCGGCAGAAACAGGAGTTCAAGGCCAGCCTGGGCTTTTAGACTCAATCAAAAGTAAAAATGAGGCTGGGTAGTGGTGGAGGTGCACGGCTTTAGTCCTAGCACTCAGGAGGCAGAGGCAGGAGGATTTCTCTGGTCTACAGCATGAGTTCTAGGACAGTCAAGTCTACACAAAGAAACTCTGTCTCAAGAAATAAACACAAAAAAGAAACCTTGTTTCAAAAAAACAGAATAAATAAAATTTTAAAAAAAAATAAGTAAACGAAATTAAAATTAAAGGGATAAAAAAAAAATGGTTGGGGGGAGGCTGGAGAGATGGCTCAAAGGTTAAGAGCACTGGCTGCTCTTCAGGTCCTGAGTTCAATTCCCAGCAACCACAGGGTGGCTCACAACCATCTATAATGAGATCTGGTGCCCTCTTCTGGAGTGTAGGCGTATACACAGGCAAAGAACACTACACATACTCCATAAATCTTACAAAACCAAAAAAGTACCACTAAGAATATCTACTGCTCTTCTACAGAACCCAAGTTCCGTTCCCAGAGCCCACATCAAGCAACAACCTCTACCTCTATTCAATACGCTCTCTTGGCCTCCGGGGTCACCTGCATGCATACAGGGCACTCGAGTGTGCAAACACATACAACTTCAAAAACTAAGCGGTTTTATTGACTACCTTATCTATATACTCGCACACTGTCTGCATATACATCTGCACAGCAGAAGACAGCAGCATCATGTGAGCTGGCATGTGGGCGTTGGGAACTGAACTCAGGGTCTTCAGAAGAGCAGTGAGAACTCTGAATAAATCTTTCTATTTTTCTTAAGGAAAATAAGTTTTTTGTTTGTTTTTGAGAGTCTCATCACACAGCTCTGGCTGTCCTGGATCAGATATCTGCCTGCCTCTGTCTCTCAGGTATAGACTTAAAGCGTGTCCCAAAACACCAAGGCAAAAGACAGTTCTTTTTAAAGTAATACATCTTCCCCCTGGCCATGGGGACTGTATCTGTAATTCTAGGCATCTGACACAGTGAGACCTTGAAGTTAAGTGCTTCTTCTCTGGCCTTTGGCAAAAGATCAAGGGTGGTGCAGGTTGCTAAGAAGAATTCAAACTTTGAAAAGTTTTTCTGGCAGCTGTGGTGGTGCACACCTTTAATCTCAACACTCCAGGGGCAGGAGGATCTTCCTGAGTTCAGCCCAGTCTACAGAGTTCCAGGAAAGCCAGGGCTACAAAAAGACTACACAGCCGAAAACAAAAACCAAAACAAAACAACAAAAGTTTTGTTAATTATGTTTCTCAGAGGTTGGGAATTTAGCTTGGTGGAAGAGTGCTTGCCTAGCAAGCCCGAGGCCCTGGGTTCAGTCCTCAGCTCAGGAAGAAAAAAAAAAAAGGACAAAATTATGTTTCTGATTGTTTTTTCTCTTTTGGTGGCCTGGAACCAGGTATGGTGGACTAAGCTGGCCTTAAATTCATAGCAATCACATTGCAACTGCAGGGATTACAGGTATGTAGTCACCCTGCCTGGCTCTGTACATGTACAGCACAGAGAACCAATCCCAAAGCCTTGCATATGCTGGGCAAGTACTCTACCATAGCTTTATTTTTCCCCTTATAATTTGAAACAGAGTAATTTTTCCAGATTTGTCTTTCAACCTTCCTGCCTCACCCTTCTGGATAGTTGAGGTTACAGACCTTTACAGCTATGCCTGGCTAAAAGGAAGTGATGAACATCTGTCAAGCCTATCCTCTGGGAGGCAAAGATACCTGGTTTGGCTGGGGCTTTAGTCTGAGCTTTAGCCACCACAGCTGCCTTTGGCTTCTGTATCTGTGGTGCTTCATCTTCTGAGCTGGAGTCCGACTCAGACTCGGAGCTCTCAGGCTTCTTAGGAGGAGCTTTGACTGCCTTGGCTTGGGGTTTAACTGCTTTCTGCTAAAAAAAAAAAAAAAAAAGCAACAAATGTCTTTAATTCTGGCATGTGGAAGGAAGAGTTCAAGGCCAGCCTGGTCAATACAGAACATTCCAAGATAGACAGAGCTACATTAAACAAACTGTAAAACAAAACACACAAAGGTAATCAATAAGGGCTGAGTGTTCAAAAGGCACCCCAGACAATTTCATTTATTTTATTTTATTTTATTTTATTTTATTTTTTTTTTGACGCAGAAGTTCTCTGGGTAGCCTTGGCTATACTAGAATTTGCTCTGTAGATCAGCCTGGCCTCAACCCTTTAATTTTTTTTAGAAGCCTACTAAAAAGGCAAGAAAAACTCAAAGAGGACACATAACATAAATAGCAACAGTGAAAAACAGTTCAACCACTTTATAAAACTGGCCTGTTCCTAACATAATCTTGTCAACAGCTCCCAACAAAACACTCATATTCTCAGGGCCTACACAGTATTCCCAAAGAACAGAGTCCAGAACAGTGGAGGTGAATTCTGCCTACATTCAGATCACCTCATTCCAGACCTCAACTTCCATATTCCGTGAAAGTCCCCAGAACTTATCCCATACTGAACAGCTTTCCACCACCCCAACTGTGAGCCAGATGGCCTAGTTTAGGTTTATTTCCAAACTCTTTTGAAGCCCTCTTTACAACCAAAGCACCAACCTGGACGGGCTTTTTCTTTTTGTTGTCCTCTTCCTCCTCCTCATCACTGGACCCTTCACTACTGCTGCTCTCCGAAGCTTTGGCTGCTGCCTTCCCAGCAGGCTGAGGCAGACTGGCTCGCTTGGCAGGTACGGCTGAGTACAAGATATAGGTACCCATGAGATTCACAAGCTGTCCAGGCAGGTGTCAGATGGTCCCTCTGGAGTAGCATTCCCAACTGCTTGCATGGCCTTACCAGTCTTCTTTGCCGTAAGTCCTTGGGCTTTTTCCTCTTCCTCACTGCTATCCTCACTGCTGTCACTGGATGAAGTCTCCTTCTTGGCCTTTGTGTTCACTGGTCCATTTGACTGTAATTTTCTCTTTGGGGCTTTGGTGGACCTGCTGATGTAGATTAGGCTGACTTCTGAGGGATCAGGACCTTCTCAAATCAAGGAACACAGCCCAGCCCACCTAGGGGGAGAAAACAGCCCAAGTGTAACAAGGAAAGCTTACTTGAGCCAGAAGCTATAGATGTCCAAGAGGGAAGAGGCATTGGCGTCCTGCTGTGTCTGCAAGAGAAGAGGAAAGGTTAGGGAGATGTTAGGCTTCTCTAGGTCAGGTTCCATGTTACTCTCTCATCAAATGTAACCAGCCAGGCGTGGTCCCAGCACTTAGTCAGAAGCAGGCAGATCTGTGAGCTCAAGCCTCGCCTGTACTCCCCAGGGCAGTCAGTTTTGTGGAAAGACCTTACCTCATAGGTAAAAAAATAAGTAAGTTTATTTGCCTACTCAATTTGAAATGGATATTACAACTTCGTAAGACTTTTCCTACTTGCATAAGTTAGGAGAAAAGTATTTCACTTATATATCACCTAAATTTGAGCATAAAAAAGTGCTACCTTTCCACTTTATAGTCTATCTATCCTTATGCCTTTCCATCCATACTTTACAAAGTCTTAGGTTCTTTTTCTTAAGATTTATTAGTATACAGTGTTCTGCCTAACTGCCAAATGAGGGCATCAGATCTCATTGTAGATGGTTGTAAGCCGCCATGTCGTTGCTGGGAATTGAACTCAGGACCTCTGGAAGAGCAACCAGTGCTCTTAACCTCTGAGCCAACGCTGCAGCCCATTTGTTTGTTTTTGAGAAAGGGTTTCTCTGTGTAGCCAGAGGCCTCAAACCAGACCAAGGACTCAACTGCAAATAAAGCTGATTGGGCAAGAGGGTGTATGTGTGAAGCATGGGACACACCAAAGCCTGGTCTTGTTTGACAGGCTGGCCTGGAACTCAGAGATCCGCCTGCCTCTGCCTCCCTCCCCGAGTGCTGCCATTACAGGAGTGTACCACCGTAGCCGGCTGGTTTTAGCAATTAATAATACAGACAGATAGCAGAGTGCAGAGTAGAGGGACTGAAGACACGGCTGATTAGGAGAACACGCTACTCTTCCAGAGGACCTGAATTTATTTCTCAGCACCTACACCAGGAGACTCACAACTACCTTCTGACACCTCTGGCCTCTGCAGATGCCCACACTAATGAGCACATACACCCCCCCAAAACACTTATATGAATAATTTAAGATATTTTCTAACTATTGACTTATTAACTGCTTTTTTAAAAAACAGCAAGGCACCAGGTGTGATGGCATATGCCTCTAATCCTAGCCCTTGGGAGAGAGAGGCAAGTAGATCTGAGTTTGAGTTAGCTTGGTCTACACAGTGAGCTCCAGAACAGCCATGGCTACATGCAGAAACTCAGTTTTAAAGAGGAAGAAAAAATGTTAGTCAGAGTTGGACATGGTGGCGTATGCTGTAATCCCAGCACTAAGGGAGGCACAGGCAGGGGATCCCTGTGAGTTCAAGGCCAGCCTGATCTACAAAACGAGTCCAGGACAGCCAAGGCTACACAGGGTAACATGCCTCAAAAAAAAAAGAAAAAGAAAGAAAGAAAGAAGTAGACTCTAAACATTTCACATTCTTCCATTTCATCTTGCTCCAGAGTCCAAACTGACATAACAGTCATCCCGTGGGATGACTACTTTGTGGATTTTCACTAGGTGAATCTCATGCATTCAAACAGTTAGGCCGACCATGGTGGCACACACCTTTAGTCCTTGCACTTGAGAGACAAGAGGCTGACAGATCCCTGAGCTCAAGCCTGGTCTACAGAATGAGTGTCAGAGCAGCCAGGTTACAAAAAAAAAAAACCTCTGTCTTATGAAGAAAAAGAACAAAAACCTACATACCTACATTTGGTAAATGAGATGGCATCCTGCTATGTTCAGGCATGCATTCGTATAGTATCTCAGGAGGCTGAGGTAGAGGAACAGAAATTCAAAGCTATCCTCCACGACAAAAGAGCTCCATGAACCATGTCCCCCAAAAAGGGCAGTTGCTGTGATCATACATGCAAAAAGTCGTAGAGCCTACGCTTTATTTCACTACCTGGAAGGCCAAGCTCAGCACCAACCTGGCAGGGCAGAATGCTCACTCCTCTAACAGAGCACTGAAAGCAACCCATCCCTGAACTCATACATTTTATTCTCAATAAATAAGTACAATTCTGGCCTTCATTACTGAACAATTTATCATCGAGCCTCAGGGAAGATTGCGATCAAGTGTAAGTCCAACAAAAGGTACACCAGAAGAACCAGGCACCGCCAATCCAATGCTCCGGGTGGGATCTACGGCTTGCTCCTCTTACGTTGTCAGCCACATGACCGGGGCCACGCGGGACCCATGCCTGGCGCCGCTGCAAAGCTCACCAAGGAAAAGCCGTTAGGACTCGGAGCTACCTAATCAGACATTAGTGGGAGATGACGCCGAGGGCTCAGGCTTTAGCAAGGTCGGCAGAGAGGCTTCGCAGACATTAGCCTCACAGAGCCGGACCTCTCTCCCTGACAAGGCCTACATTATCTTGGAGAGTCGCCCCGTCCCGGACCGCGCACCAAACCAAGGACTCACAGCGCCTGTTGCTTTTGCAAATCTATTGGCCACCTCCGAGAGTTGGTTATCACGCAGAAAGCCGAGCACGAGGGGATAAAGGTCGCTGGGAACCACGCGGCGCAAGCCGGTATCCGCCATGCTCCGGGTGAAACGCGTCACTACCGTCGCGCACGCTGCACGACTTAGGAACTCCGAAGCCCGAGCAGGGCAGAGGGCGGGCTCAGTGTCGTCATCACGTCGCGCGGTCGCAGCGGAAGCGTGGACTCCACGAGGCAGCTCTCCCTCCGCCCCCGAGGCAGGATCCAGGCGAAATCTTTAAGCTCTTTCCGGTCTCACGCGCGTCGCCATCCTGCTAAGGGCGGAAACTGCAAACCGCCTATTGCGTAGGCGGAGCGTCTACGTCAGAGGTCACGCTCCCGTCCGTGGCGGGAAAACTTGCCACTTCCCGCGCATTTTATTTTTGCTGAATGGACTTTCTTCTACAGTCGTTTCCCGAGCCTGGACTGCTCCTCAGACCCTACAGTGTCAAAGGTCTGGAGACTGCAGTGTCCTTCACCTTCCTAGAAGTGTCACCTACTGCTCACATTCCCACTGACAATGGCCTCGCTCCCACCTTTCACTCTCCGTACACCCTTAAAGTTGCTCATTGTGGTGACAGGGGTGTTAGTATTGCTAACTGCCTGTCAATCATACCCAGGTTACGAGACAGTTGTCCTATGCACAATTCCAAGGGGCGAAGAGGATGAACACTATGCCAGAGAAAGTCATGTGACTCGAATACACATTATAGTCCTAAAAGTAATCCTTTCTGGTTAAGTCAGAAGTCGCACTGAATTCTGTCAACTCCAGTATCAGTCACTTTTCAGGTCGCATTAGTCATCCCTCAGAAAGCAATAAAGTTGCACTTCCTGCGGACAGCCTTACTTCCCTCAAAACAGGCGCTCCTTTCTCCTAAAGAAAACCATTACCTTCCCCTTTGCCAGAGGACATGCTTCTATCTATACATGTGCACTTAAAAAAAAAAAAATCATTCAAGGGCCTGGACTGCGATCAAGCTAAAATGGTGAACTTGCCTTTTGGCCAAGATGGCGCCGAAAGCGAAGGAAGAAGGAAGGTTAAACGGGGTTATACACAGCAACTTCATGTTACACCGAGTTAAAACGGTGAACTTAATGGAAACACTTAACAAACCCACTTAGGAAACCTTTATGTTCAACAAACGTTAAGCTTCTCATAGGTCCTTTGCCACTGAAACCCCTTCTGCCAGGCTTGGTGGCAAATATCTTGAACAAAGGCAGGTAGATCTGAGTTTGAAGCCATCCTGGTCTACAAGGAGAAACCCTGTCTTAAAAAAAATAAACAAGAACACTTCTCCCTGAGTGTGAAACACTAAATCAGACAGTGGTGACTCACGCCTACCAAGCAGATCTGAGCCTGGCCTACGGAGTGAATTCCAAGACAGTCAGGACTACACAAAAAAACCCTAGCTTGAAAAAACAAAAACAAAAACTCCATCCCCTAGAGTCTGTGTTCCAAAAGTATCTCCAGCAGCAGCCCAGGTGGCTCTCACCTGCAGCAGCTACTGAAGAGAAGGCGGAACTGTGGTTTCAGTTCAGCCTCAACTCTACAAAACTCCAAAGAGAATAGACAGATGGCCCGGTGTGTGACTGCTGGCCGAGGAAGCATGCTGTATAAGCAGTGGAGTGACTTGGGTGGGCAGCCCCAGGCTGGTGTGGCACAGGCGACACTGCAGCTCACTATCCAGGCTCTCGATTCAGAGAGACCTTGTCTCAAAAAAGGTGAAGGGGCCTGCAGAGATGGCTCAGTTGTTAGAAGAAGCATTTACTGCTTTTCCAAAGGCTCCAAGGGACTCAACACCTTCTTCTGGACTCTGTAGCACCCACAGGCACCCATTTGATATAATTAAAAAAATTTTTTTTCCAGGTAAGTCTCAAAACAAAATCTTAAAATGGGTTTGGTGTGGCGGTACATGCCTCTAACCCAGCACTCAGGAGGTAAAGATAGGTGGATCTCTGAGGCCAGCCTGCTCTACAAACAAGTTTAAGTCAGCGAGATTTTCACACAGAAAAACTTGGTGAAAAAAAAAAGGTGGTGTGTGTGCGAGACACTCATCTTTAATCTCAGCAGAAGCAAGCAGGTCAATGTGAGCTCAGAGACAGCACAGCCCACACAGCAAGTTCCAGGACAGCTATATTGCAAGAACCTGTCCCAAATACAGTAAAAACCTCAACAAGGCAGTAGTGGTGCCCACATTTTACCCCAGCAATTCAGAGTAGAGGCAGGTGGATCTCTGTGAGTTCAAGAATAGCCTGGTCTACCAGGTCAGTTCTAAAACAGCCAGGGCTACAGAGAAACCTGCCTCAAACAAACAAACAAACAAACAAAGGTGGAGAGCAAGACAACCGTGACAGGTCTGTCCTCCATACATGGGTTCACACCTCCACACACTATACACGAACATATATATACACACACAATATTCAAAACAAGGAAAAGGTGGCTGTGTTAGCTTAGTAGTACAGCTCTTGCTTCCCCATGTCTGAAGACCTTGGATTCAAACCCTAGTACTGCCAAAATAAAGGACTAGGGATGGTCCGCTGCCTTAAATGCTTGTCTAATGATGTTAAGGACCTGAGCATGATTCTCCAGAACCTATATGGAGATAAAAACTGTCAGATGTAGTAGTCCATACATGAAATCCTAATGCTGGGCAAGTGGAGAAAGGATTCTTCGGGGCTCACTGGCCAAGCCAGCCTAGCCTAACCAGTGAGCTTCAGGACAATGAAGTGGTCAGCATTCTTGAGGATGACACTAAGAAGGTGACCTATTACCTGTGTATAGATATGTTCTCACACACACACACACACACACACAATAGGCCTAAGGATAAAAGTTCAGCTGGTAGAATGCTTGCTTGCCTAACAAAGTTCCTAGTTCAACTTCCAGCACTATGTAAACCAGATGGAGTAGCACATGCCTGTAATCCTAGCATTTGGGAGACAGAGGATCAGAGGCTCAAAGTCACCTTCAGCTAGTCATCTAGAGACAGGCTAGGATACAAGAGACTGCCAAAATAGAAATTAAGTGGATCGGACATCTTTGAAATCTGAGTATTTTTCTCCCTTTTGACTTATTTTACCTGAGTAGCCAAGTTAAAGCCAATTTTACAGCTAACCAGTGTAGGCAAGCATGGCCCTGACTGTGTTCAGAGAAATATTGAAGACTCGACGATAGCACACAGGAAGAAGCACAACAGCTGGAGCTCTAAGTTCATGTTTATTAGGTATTCCCCTCAGACCCACCTTCTATAGAAATGCATGTTAGTTTGTTCAATACATGTTATTAGAAACAAAAAACAAAACAAAACAAAAAAACACATAAAAATCCCGATTTAATACATTTTTATTTAACTTTTTTCCATTTCCTTATAAAACAGTCATTTCCACACTAGCAGCTCTCACCCCTAGAGTGGGGGAGGGGGGTTAGAGGAGGTTGGGCACCTCCAGAGAAAATGGGTAGGGGAGGAGTGCCCAGGGTTACCTCCTCAGGTTCTTCTGGGCCTGTTTTAACAATGTATCAAAGTCAAGAGAATCGAATTTGCTCTTCACAGGGGCAGGATCGAAGTCTTCCCGGTTGGAGTCTACCGAAGCAGAGAGGGACAAACATTACTGTCTCTGAGCACGCCTGCCCTTCTGTGAAGAGATGTAGGAGAACCTTCCCTCTCAGCCCACCCTTTAGGTTCTTTGTATGGCAAGTGTCTAGCTTCACTCCCAAAGTTCTCCGGAAACTGGATGCCATACCTCAAAGCCTAAAAAGCCTTCATAACTCACCAAGATCAGAGTAACTCCTCTTGCAGAACTGCCTGCGGCCCCCAAAGCAGAGATCAAAAGGCTGCTCATCTGCCTGCCGCAATTTGTGGCCACTCTCAATGGCTGCAAACGCTTCTTCAGCATAACGGTAAGTGACGAAACCATAGTTGTCACTAGTGGGGAGAGTAAGCCATTTGCGCACAGGTCATGGAGAAGACCCCAGAGTACAGAGCTATGTCCCTCTCAATGTAAAAACAAGGTGACTCCACACAGGCCCCGGCACAATAAAACACAGGAAAGACAGAGAAGCATCAAGGTATACGAATTTAACAGAGCCAGGTGTGGCAGTGCATGCCTTTAATCCCAGCAGTTGGGAGGCAGGAACAGGTGGATCTCTGTGAGTTTGAGGCTAGCCTGGGCAACACAGAGAAGCCCTGTCTCAAAAAACAAAAAGTAAAAAAGAATTTAACAGAAAGAACGCCTGAACTTTAAAACTTACCCCTGAACTCGAAAATGAATGGTGCACTCCTCAATCTCTCCAAAAACAGAGAACCTCTGCTTCAGCTCTGACCGAGTCATGCGGCCAGGTATCTTCCCAATGAAGACCACCCTTCTTTCTTCCTGTTAGATAAAGGAAAGTGACCCTCTAGGAACCAGAGCTGCGGCTGTTGATGGATTCTGAGCACAAGGCACAGGGTAGGGACCCTCCCATGACCTGCTTCTGTACTCACTATTGCACGCTCCTTCTGTAGTACTCTCTGCCTTTGGTAATGGTCATTTGCACGGTAAGAGCTGTACCTGGCAAGAGAGGTACCATCAGCCCCACACACAAGTCAAGACTCAGAAATCTCAGGCACCTGCCCTGCACCCTAGATACACTACCCTCCAACACATGCTCATGCTCACCGCCGCCTCCGGTCACTTCTCCTGCGAGGGGACAGGGAGGGAGAGCGGCTTCTGGAACTGGATGATGAGGACGAGGAAGAGGAGGAAGAGGAGGAAGAGGATGAACACCTTCTGGAACGTCCAGAGGAACTGCAGCTGGACCTGGAATAAAGGGCACAGGAATGACAGGAATGGTGCAGACATGTTCCACTACCTTAGCCAGGCTCAGAGCTGCCTCCCTGTCAGGAAGCTCAGGACCAAAGATAAAGGAGAGCAGAAGAGGTTCAGAAAGTTTTCATTGCAGATAACAAATGGGAGACCATTCATAAAATTTTAGATATATCAAGTTTTACATGAAAATCTTCTTACTCTTTTCCTTAAGATGGGGCCTAGGTACACAGCCAAGCTGGCTCTGGAACATGGGATTCCCCTGCCTCTGCCTTGCCAGCACTAGGACTGTGCTAGCATGCCCAACATGAAGTTCTT